TGGACAGCAGGGAGCAACGCAGTCACTGAGTTCTGAAATTATCCGTAGGTATCTTCACGAGCGTGTTGGCCCCTGAGCTGGGTTTACATGAAAGTTTGACTCAGCGCAGAAGTTGACTGTCCGTGTGGACTGGGTCTCCTCACAGCACAATGGCCTTGTGGCAGTCAGGCGTGGGAGGCACTTCTGTGGTTCTGCGAAGACTGAAGCAGCTGCAAGCCCCGTCAGACTCAAGGAGTGTGATGTAGATTCCGCCTCGCAGTGGCAGGGTGTCAAAAATGTGCATTCATCTGAAGAACGCAATCAGCCCTCTTCCAGTAAATTATTTCTGCTCCATCCATGTGTAAAATACACTCACCCCTTTCTAAAATCCTCCGAAATTCTGATCTCAGTATGGCTTCAAAAATGTTAAGTCTTGAAAGACTGTTGATCTAGAATTTGTATCTGGGGAAATTACCCTTTAAAAGTGAAGGAGAAAGAAAGATTTTCTGAGCCAAACAAAAACTATGGGGATTTGTACATTTATCTTGTATCCTGAGGGTTTTCTAAATTCACCTATTCTGATAGCTTTTGTAACGGATTCTGTGAGATCTACCTGAGCGTTCACGTCACTTAACGCTTTTTTCTCCTTCTTGCCTTATTGCTCTGGCTACGGCCTCTAGTACGATGCTTAGTGGAAGTGGTAACAGAGGACCCGTCTTCCTTCTGATGAGGAGACAGCATTCATGTTTCTCCTTCATTGTGGTGTTGCTGTGGTTTCCAAGAATGCTCTTTTCCAGGCGGAGCTTCCCATCCTCCCTGGCTGCTGGAGTTTTTATCAGGGATGATGTAGGAATGTTTTCAAGTGCTTGTTTTTTGGTGTTTGAGATAATACAATCTTACATATTGAGATGTTGTAATTTTTCTCCTGTTGTTTAACGTAATGATTTACATGAACGGATTTGTAATTGTTAAGCCAGCCTTGCCTTTTGGGATAAACCACATGTCGTAATGTACTGTTCCTTTCTGTACTACTGGGTTAGATGTGCTGTTAAGGATTTTGGTGTCTTGTTTGTAAGATTTCTTGTCGGTCTGGTGTCAGTGTCAGTGTCGGTGTAATGCAGACCTCATGGGCCGATTTTGCACTCCTTTCTCAATTTCTTGGAAGGATTTGTGGAGAACTGCTGTTGTTTCTCCCTCAAATGTCTGGTAGAATTCACCAGTGCAGCCACGAGGGTCTGGAGTTTCCGTTGTGGGAAGGCTTTTAACTGTAAGTTAAATTTATTAAGTAGACGTGAGCGTATCACCGGTTATCAGCTTCTGCCTGAGAAAGCTTTGGTGGTTCATGTTTCTCGAGAATGTTTCCTTCATCTGAGCTGAGTTTATCTGCATAAAGCTGTGGGGATGGTTCTCCTGTTAACATTTAACGTCTGTGGAATCTGTAGTGACCATATCGACCCTCCCTCCAAACTGCTGTTGCTGTATTTGTTACAGTTTTACCCTCATGTCCACCCCAGGAACCGTGGCGCCAGCTTAGCTCTCGCTGGCCCTTGGTGCTCGTGGGCGAGTGGGTGATGAACAAGTGGGTCTCCATGTGACCAGGTGCCCCGCACCCCATCGCCTGGCCTCGTGCGCCGACGTGCTCTCCTGGGAGCGTCCACCCCGGGACCCTGGGAGCCCCAGGCTCTCCTCCCGTCCACCCCAAGCCCAGGTGCCACAGCTCCCAGCTCAGCTCTGTCCCCCCTGCTGTGTTCGCCACCCTTTCCCCATCCTCAGTAAGTTTCTCTAAATCTTGGAGAACGATCGTTAATGTGTGAAAGCCGCAGCCAGCGTTTTCAGCTTCTGCCTGGTCGGCAGCCTCTCTGAAATGGTTTACGTGTTGGTGTGGGACACTGAGGCCTGCGATGTGTCCAGGCCGCACCCCTGACCACAGGCAGCTGTGAGATCCTGGCCTGGGAGGCGGGTGCCGCGGTGGCTCCTGGGCAGCGGCTGCGCCTTGGGGTGGGGGCCTCAGGTCAGCCTCCTCCCCAGCCCGACCTGAGCAGGAGGGAGGCTTCAGAACGTCCCGCCACCTCCACCTCTGCCTGCTCCTGAGATCTCACACCCTCACTGTGGTTAATGGGAAAGAAGTGTGGCCTGAAGCAGTTTATGGAGGAGGAGTGTGTGTGAGGATTGCAGTCTGACGGGCGAGGCGAGTGCTTTACACCTGCGATCGTCACAGAGACCTCAGCACACCAGCCACTGCCCTACAGGCGACTGTGGGCAGCAGCAGAGTGAGGACTTGGCAGTGAGAAGACGGGGCGGAGTCTCCATAGTGAGACTCCGAGTCCGGGCTCGCAGGCGTCTCCGCTCCCAGCCCCCGAGACATTCTGCGTGGCTCCCGGACAGCAGACCCGCAAGGGTGACACCAGGCTGGTGCCCGTCCCTCCACAGAAGCCGTGCACAGCCAGCAGCAGCGAGGGCTTCGGGGTGGACCTGGCCGTTTCGCTGGAGACGCAGACCCTGCCCGGACTCTGAGCCCCTGGACTCTGCTTGATGAAAACGGCCCAGCACCCCAGGGAGGCACAGTCTACTGGGTGTTTTTATTCACTTAACAGAAACATTCACTTATCAGATCTCACTGAAGTGCAGTTTACAGAACTTAGAGGCAAATTAACATGTAAATTCAAAATTTAAGGTTTTGGATTTTTTTTCTTTACAAATATTACAGATGTACATCCATTGGTGCAGTATTGCCGTCCACTCATGCTTTTCACGTACATACCTTCACTTAGGAATTACTGTTAAGTTCATTTTGCTTAAAAAATGCTGCAAGTTAACTGGGCCCTGGGAAGGTCATTTCCCTTTTGTTCCTGACGCATGTGCTGTAGAGTGACGGAAGTTAGTGCCTGTGTGAAAAGAGGCCCTGCGATCTAGATCGTCTGTCTTTATCCTGAGAGGATGTTCCGTGCCTCCAGCTCTGACTCTGGAATGACAAGGTAGGAAGTGGGTACTGCCTGCACGTCCCTGCAGGAGCGATATTGTTTGGTCTAAATTTCTAGGTATGTGGCATCGGTGTCCCTTTTGGTGGAGGTCGGACAGGGCAGGCCCCAGGGGTCTGAAGGGTCGCTGGCAGGTCCCCCGGACAAGAAGTCAGGGGCCCCCTCGTGCTGAAAAAGCCGTGACCACGGCTCAGCCAAGTGGAGCTCGGCCGAGACCCGCCCGAGGTTCACGTGCCCGAGGCTGGGCCCTCAGTTGCACCAGGGATCAGGAGTTCAGGACGAGGAGGGGAGGGAGGGGAGGGAGGAACAGGGGAGAGAAGTTGGAAGAGGCAGGCAGAGCGGCAGGAGGCCCCGGGGGTGGCGCCCGTCCCCGCCTCCCCAGAGCTGGGGGGGGGTGCTGTTGGTTCCCTGCGGCGGTCTCTCAGGTGGCCTGCCTCTGCCCGTGCTCCCTCCTTCCCGCCCCTCACCCCCACCCTTTACTGGATCTGAATCAGAATTCTTGGGGCAAGTGTGCCGAGCGCTCCCGGAACCTGCGGTGCTGCAGCCGGGAGGGGCTCAGGACCACGGACAGCGGCCGGTGCCCCAGCAGGCCCCTCCCACAGCCATCGTGTGTCTGCGGGGGCATCCGCCACCAGCAGGACCTGGGAGGGTGGTCACCCAGCCAGGTGCTGCCCCTCCTGAGCCACAGGGCCTCGTGTTTCACTGCACCTTCCAGGACCCAGAACTGGGACAGCCCTTAAAACATGCAGGACTGGGGGTTGGCTGGGTAGCAGGCTCTGCTGAGTGTACACGAGGCTTTTGCCAGGAAAGGTCATAGCCTCAAAGGTGGTTCGGAGAAAGGAAGATTTTCCTAGCTTCCTTTTGGTCTTATTAGAAAGTGACATTTATTGTATTGGGCCAATTAGAAGATTCCATTAGAATGGCTTCTTAAAAAATGGGTATAGAAGTTTCTCTAAATTAAAAATGCCTACTTAATTTAAGTTTCAAAGATCTTTTTAATTTTTTTAAACAAGATACTATAGACACATCTTGAAATTTTTAATCTAAAAATAGGATTTCATCAAAATACTCTTAACTGTTCTATCCTGGGCATTGACATACCATGTATTTACTGTTTATGGCTCTCCAGTCTTGATAAACACTATACCCCCCCCCCAGAAAAAGCATTTACCTTTATTGGTAAGAACAGATTTCAGTGAAAAAGAAATTATGTGGGAAAAATATGAGCTGTGTTTGCTTGAAAAGAAACTCAAGCTGGCGTTTCTGACCAACAGCAGACGTCACAGCATCGGTTGTGGCGAGATGGGGGTGTACAGATGGGGAACCGCAAAAGCAGAACCCAGAGAGACCCTAAACACAGGAGGTCGCTGTCATTCGTCGTTGGGACCATGGGCTGGTCCTGACCCTCTGCGGCCAGTCCTGCACGGAGGCTCACACGGCCCCCGCTTTTTGGCTGAGAACCAGGTGGGGAACCTCGCGCTGCTCCCCCCCATGCTTGCTTGGGAGGCGGACAGAGGTGCTGTGGATTTTATTTTGACTTTCCTGGGAGGAAGCTGAAAGCAGAGGATGCTGGGCCCGCGAGCAGTGCAGCACAGAGGTGCAGGGTGGTCATTTTGAGGCAGATTCAGTGGACGGGGTGGGGGCAGCCCCCCTTTTGTTGGTTCCATCCTGTCTTCAGGGCAACTCAAGTGTGTTCTCCTTACAGAGGCCTCGGGTGGTGAGGTGCGTGTGCTCCTCTGCACTCTCACTGATCTTTCTAATTAAAAGATTCCGTCAGACCCCCTGAAGCAGTCTGGGGCTCCCGTGGGACTTTGGAGCAGAGCAGATGGGCCTCATCCCTGGGCGGACCTGACTGGAGCCCGGTGTTCCAGCCCCGGGACCTGCCTCCTCTCAGCCTCTGCTCATCCCAGCCCTCCTCCCGCCTTTGCCCTTCTGTGCCTGGAGCTCGAGGTCCTGTCCTCCCCCGCTCTCTCTCCGTCTTCCCCTCACTCGGACCCCCGCATCCGTGGCAGAGCGCCGGGCCCTAGGAACTTCCTGCTGCACTAGAAACCCTCCCTTTGCGTCCCTGCCAACTGGACACACCGACCCCTAAGCCAGTGCTTCAGACGAGAGAGAGCAGCCAGCCTCGTGCCGGGCCCTGTGGAGTGTTCCCTGTGGGTGGGTGGGCGCCTTCCGCCCCTTGAGCCCACCTGTTCCTGGCATCCCCCCCCCGGGGCAGGAGCATGTGGACACAAAGTGGGGCACGCGTCTCCGGGCAGCAGCTCAGAGCGCTGGTGAGCCGAGGTTCCGGGCACAGGTTTCAGCCAGGGCTTGCCTGTGCCTCCAGCGCCAGTAGCTCCAGACACCGGTGTCCAGAGCGTCAGTCACAGCCACCCCTCACGGTCGTCGGTTCTCTGAGCTTCATCCTGGTGATGCGTCGGACTGTCAGAGACTAACAGAAACTGGCCTTTTGACCCTAGCTTTTGTACTGAATTAAGCTCCTATTTTATTTTTAAAATTTTATGAAAGATTCATGTCATCTATTTTCAAAAACATTTTTCTATCTCTTGAAACTTTTATCCTGAAGAAACTGTCTACTTCAGACCTGTTTTCTCTTCTAAAAGCAGTGGACTGGTGAGTCTGACCTTGTGCTGAGTCTCGGGGCAAGTTTCTGTTTCCTTACTGGTCAATCTACTTGGGCTCTGGCAACAAGTGCCTACAACTCACTCTGTCTGGCATTTGCCCCTTTGTTACGAGAGCTGTAACGTGTCCTTGAGTGTGTATGCGTGGTGACATGCTGGCGTCCCCTGGGTCAGGTGAGGGGCCTGTGTCCCCAGAAGGATGTGCGCCCGGGGTGGCTGGCTGGACTCCAGGGTGGCGGCCTGACGCTGTGCTATTTAGCGCAATGGATCAGATACGGATCTTTTAATTGGAGGGACGAGAGGCAGGTTAACTGGAGCGTGGAACCAGAAGTGAGTTCTCAGCGATCAGGCACCTCAAAGCATGTGATGGACGGGATGTGACCGGGTGCTGCCCCGCTGCGTGGACAGGGCGTCTGCACCGGCCCCAGGGCTAGATCCCAGGCGGCCTGTGCCCGGCTGTGTGTTGGAGGACCTGAAGGTGGCAGCGCCCCGCTTCTGGCACTTCTGCGGCTGCTCTGAGTGAGCTTTCTTCGTCGTGCGGCAGGGAGCAGAGAACCCCTGGGACCAGGGAGCTGGGGGCTCCTTGGGCCTGAAGGGAAGGTTGTGTGTGTTTCTGTGCTTGTTCCCTAATAAAAGTTTGATCAGAAAGTCAGGACTCAGTCTAGGACTCTGCTTACTCGTGACCTGGTGGGGTCACAGGTCCGTAGGCTGTAGAGGACCCTGGAAGCTCTGACCTCGTCCACGGCTGGCTGGCCGTTACCTGCCAGAGGAGCAGCTGTGGGGACGGGATGGGCTCGTCCCCGCGACGTCTAGCAGTGGTGTCTTCACACGCTGGACCTTGGCCCGTGGGCGCTCTGGGAACGGTTCCTCTGCTCTGCAGGAAGGGTCTCGTTCCCTGGTTCTGCCTTGGGGGTCCTTTAATACTGTGCATCTCAGACCCTCTTGAAAGGACATGGAATACAACAGAGTGGCCATGAGCACAACAGCGCGCTCACTGGCTTCTCTGGGGGAGCCCATGGCTTCTCTCTTCACTTGTGGCTTATCCTGAATATCGTGTGCGCTTCTGCATGGTTGAGCGGGAACCCGGCACCAGAGGTGTGTGGGGGAGGGGGCGTCGGGGATGGTGCTGGATTCACTCTTCCCACAGGAGCGCTCCGCACCACCCTGCAGGTGGCCACTCAGACCCTGCAGCCCCGATGGAAACTCCCTTCGGCACCAGGAGGAGGCAGTCCCTGGTGCCTCGGACGGGCGTGGTGGCTGTCTTGGTCCCAGCACCCTGGGAGCAGCCGGCAGAGGAGCAGCATGTGCCTAACTCAGGGCTGGCTGCTCACCGAGCTGTGCACACGTGTGTGTTTCTGGGACACCAAAGGGAAATGAATGCACGAACGGACCAGCCCCGTCCCGACACGCCCCACACACCCACCCTCGCCTCGGCCAGAGCGGGCCCGGGTCCAGAGACTCAAAGAGTTAGTAGAAACTGGTCCTGCTCTGGTGGCTTCCTCACCCAGGTGCCCAGGCCCGCCTTCTGGAACGCCTTGAACAGCTGCTGCTTGACAGACTGGTAGGTGCAGGCCCCTCGCTTGGCCTCACAGTACATGGATGGTGTGTCCCCGTGGCTTGGGATCCGTGTGCTCAGCTGTGGGATAAAGGGAGAGGGAGGGGTGAGCCCCTGCTGGCAATGGGGCCCCCCAGACCAGCAGGACCCGCCGAGAGCGGGGCCCCCCGGACCAGCAGGACCCACTGGAACCGCGTTGGAACACGCTGAGCTGGCTCTGGCTCCTGGCCCCACCGGTAACTTCCTTCTCTCTTCCTTCAGACGGAAAAGCAGCGTCATAGTGACGCGTACCTGAAATTTGCTAAGACACACACTGATGGCAGCGCTGTGGTGGTGCCAGATGTCATTTCACAGTGTATCAAATTATCAAGTTGTGCACCTTAAATATATACGTTTGTGTGTCCTTTATGCTCAGGAAAGCTGAAACAAAAGGAAAGTATCTGTTCTCCCTAATTTGACCTATGATAAATAAAATCACATTTAAAACTCCCCTCCCTGCCACCAAAAAGAAGTAACTATAGAAGTTTCCAGGTTCTGCCCGGCAGTTCTGTGATTCCTCAGAAAACCTAGTTATCAGGGGACCGTGCTTCACAGGAGGTGTGACGATTAACACAAAGATAAGCACATAACCTGCTGCTCCTCCAAACTCGAGCTGCACGGTGGGGAGGAGGGGCTCAGGTAGAGCGGGGGTGGGGCCGGGGAGGCCTGGGAACAAAGGTGGGTCAGGGTCGGAAACAGGCAAACAGGCGGCTCTTGAGTTACCTGCCAGCCTGGCAGGGGACCAGGAGGTGCTGTGTGCTTGTCAGGGTCCTGAGCTGAGCAGGACGCGCTGGCTGGTCCATCTCACTCACTCACTGCTGGGTAACTGGGGTGAACCTAACTTCTCTCAGCATGCGTGTCTTTATACCTCAACTGGAATGATACTGACGCTGAAGTTTGTATGGACTTTTTGAGCAGGTGGCCCTGCCCCGGCCACAGCCCTTCACAGTGAGCTCCTTTTCCACCTGTTTCTGGGACCCGACTGCTGCTCGTCAGGGGCCCCCACTCAGAGGAACCGCACCTGAGGCCCAGGGAGTGAGCTGAGGGCACAGGGACCAGTTTTGCAGCAAGTGTCACCCCCGCTCAGACCCAGTGGCGTTATTCTGCCTTCTGCCCCCTGCCCCCCACGAGCCGCACCCACCTTCCCATGGAGGCGCGCCCACCGGGCGGACAGCCTGCGCTTGCAGAGCCGGGACGAGCGGCCACAGCTCCTCTTCCCCGTGGTGGCGTCCACCACCTCCACGTCCGCGGCGCCCACCACCCAGTTCACGCTGAAGTGCGGCGACTTCCCGGGCTGCCGGGCCTCGGCCTGACTCACTCCTGGGGAGGGAAGCGGCGAGGCCGTGAGGTGCGAACACTCTGTCCCAGGTGGGCTGTGCAGCCGAGGCTCACGTCCCAGGAACCTTCACCCAGAGAAGGATGCGAACGGACCAAGACCCTGGGTTGACGGGGCCCGTCCTCGTCACATTCAGGGAAGCGCTTTTGTGGTCTGAGCACACAGAACACAGGCATGTGCCCACCAGGGTCCCCCAAGAGAAGGTCCCTGAAGAAGTGGACCCTCATCCCTCAGTGCCGGCACTGCCTCCGTTCAGGGTCCAGGGTCTGCGTGGACGTGTGCGGGGTCCTCCACAGACCACCTCCCTCGGCCGGAGACCCTCCAATCTACCCCGAACCCAAGAGCGACCAACCCCGCCTAGTCTCCTGCCGGTGTGTCCACGAGGAGAGATCACGCTCGCATGCGGCGCTGCGGTGGTCCCGCTGCCAGGCGTGGTGGCCTAGAGGACCGTCCCCTCAGCCCAGAGCCTTAATGTGATCACACCTGCAGAGACCCCTTTCCAGGTAAGACGTCTGCAGGTTTTGGGGGAGCAGGACCCCCCCGGCACTGTGCTCCTGGTCTTGTACCGCCCCTGCCGCCACCGCTCAGAGCCACGAGGGAGCATCCACTTGCCTGGCAGATAGTTTTATCAGTGCTCACCAGCTGCTCAAAGATGCTTTACTCTGAGAAAATCCCCTTCTACCTTTTTTAACGGTGTGTGTGTAATAGACACGACAGCGTTTCTTTTAAGTATCTGTGGGCCCACTTTGTCTAAGGTGTGACTCACTCTCCCCACACGAGATGTGCACACGACATTCAGGGTGTCATTTTCACGGGAGCTGCGGCAGGGCAGGTCTTGCGTACAGGGCGGCCCCGCGTGTGGTTTTGTGGAATGAATGAAGCAGTTTCCAGATACACCTGGAATCGTGAAGTGGCAGGAACAGGAGGGCCGCCTGAGTTTCTGCACTGCCCCCACCCTGCGGGTCTCCTGGGCTTGCGTGCACTCGTCACACCCACAGGTGCAGACGGCACGTCACACAGGCCACGCCCCACACCCCCTCACTCTGCGCACACACTCCCGACGGACATGGGCCGGTAACACGGACGGGTGGATCGGGGTAGCTACTCCTGAGTCTGTGCTCACATCACTTTCATGAGCGTGGGCAGCGTCGTAACAGTGACTTCCTAGCTGTGGTCCTGTCTGAAAGCAGCACGTACAAGGGACGACACGCAGGGGGCAGCGGGGCCTGGACCGTGAGCTGGCTCAGTGTGCGGCACGTGTCGTTCTGCTGTCCCAGGAGCTGCAGGTGACACAGGGGAACGCTGTGCAGGGCCAGGTCGGGCTGAGCAGCAGCGTCTGAGCAGGGGCTGGGGCCTCCACTTCCGATGAGGGTTCCCCTGATGTCCGGAGACTTCCTTCCTGGAGTCAAGGGACGTGACCTGATCTGTGATCAGAAATGACTGAGGTCCGTGCTCCTCGTAGTTTAACGTGCACGTGCTCCCAGGATGCTCCAGGAGATGCGCGCATCCCTCCGTGGCAGGAAAGCCGAGTGCTCCCTCCTCCAGCCTGGTGGTGGTGTGGGTCTGGGCTCCTGGGAGGACTGTTGCTATTTCAGGAGATACAAGGCAAAGGGACTTGGGCAGAATGTGGCTGATTTTGCTTGAAATCACGTATGTCCACTGTCGTCACGTCTCACCTGTTGGGGGCGCATGGCCCCCCTGCTCTTGGCCCCGCAGTGTCTGTCTGGGGCGTTTTTATTATGCACAGAAACACAGTGTTTCGGGGGCCTCGTTTCTCTGGAATGCTGTCTCTCCTCCCCTGAAGGATACTTTCACTGGGTGCAGGGTTTTGGTTTGAGATTAACTTTCCACAGCATTTCAAAGACGTCATTTCCTGTTTTGTCCTCTGAGGTTTAGCTATCAGTCTGACCTCACGTCTCTGAAGTTGACTTGTCTTTTATTTACTGGCAGCTTTTATGATTTTCTTTTTATTCTTGTTTTTAGCGATTTTGCTGCTGAGGGAGGACTGGAACATTCTTCCTGAGGTGCAGCACGCTTCTCATGGTCCTGGGTCGGTGCATCCCCCGTCCTGGGGAGTCCTCAGTTCTCGTGTCCGTAGTACAGCTCCCACTCCGCTTTCCTCTCTTCCTCTGGGACTCTGTCCACACCCATGTTAGACTGTCTCGCTCCGCCTCTCACCTTCCCTTTGTATTTTCTCCTGTTTCCCTCTGCAGTGGTCAACTTTGTGTATCAACTTGGCTAGGCTGTGGTGCCCGCTGCTTGGTCAGACACCACCCACGTGCTGCCGTGAAGGTAGTTTTGATGGGCTGACACTTCGATCAGCAGACTTTGAGAAAAGCAAAGACCCTCCGCTGTGCGGTAGGCCTCGTCTAATCAGTTGACGACCCTAGGAGCCAAGATCGAGGTCCCTCGAGAGGAAGGAATTCTACCTCCAGGTGGCCTTTGGGTGTGGCTGCAGTAGCAGCGTGTGCCTGGAAGGCTGGCCTGGCCTGCAGATCTCAGACCTGACAGCCCCGCAGTGGTGTGAGCCAGTTCTCCGAGACAGGCCTCTCTTTGCTAGCAGGAAGCTGAGTCTGGCCTGTTGGTCCTGAGCTCTGGAGAACCTCGACTGAGACTCCCTGTCTCTGTCTCTGTGCTCGTTCTGGGTGTTCTCTTCAGAATAATGTCCCAACATGCTAATTCTCTCCTCGGCTGTGTTAGTTTGCCTCTAAGCCCAGCCTTTGTTACACAAAATGTTTTATTACCTTTATTTCTGAAATTCCCATCGGGCCCTTTTTCTGGCTCCCCCCCCTCCCAATTTTCCGTCTTGGGCTTTCAATCTCTTTTACCCTGTTGGGCACAGTTACATGAACGTCTGTGTCTGAGAACTGCAGCCTCTGGGGCCAGGGGCTGCCTTCACCGTCCGTGGTTCCTGCCGGGTCTGTCTCCACCGGCACCAGTTTTTTATTCTGTGCTGGTGCTTACTGTACGTGCACCTTTTCTGTAGGATTATTTTGACCTGACTTCTGGTAGGATCATCTTAATCTGAATTCAGGAATGAGATCATTACAAGCTGGGCTCACTGGGTCCCGATTCATCCTGACTGACTTCTCCGTGCACTGCAGTGGCCGCCCCACTGCTGCCTGAAACTGCCCTGAAAGCTCCTCCAAGGTCCACCTTCCACCTCTTCTCTTTCCACCCCTGCATCCTCAGGGTGTCCTCAGGTGTCACCCGGGCCCTCTGACTTACAGTTGCAGGCCACTTTCTAACCCCTTCACTTTAATTTTCTGTCAAGCATTTGTATTTTCTTCGCCTTCTCCCCACTAGAAGGCGTCTGCCTCGGGCGTGGGTTTTCAGTCGTTTGGCTCACTGCCCTAGTCCGAGTGCCGAACTGCGCCTGGAGCGTCTTAAGTGATCAGCATGTACCTGCTGAGTGATTAAAGGCATGCAGGGATTGTGGTCAGCGTCTTAATGTTTGGACAAAGTAAGTGTGTTGACAGCAGGAGTGTTTTCCTTCACAGGCAAAGCTCTCAGGAGGAACATCATCAGGTTTGGTGTTCAGTTCTGTGAAACTGTTCCTTACAGTCGTGGTAGAAATTAAGTGAAACTTAACTAATAAACGCAGTTTTTAAAAGAACTCCCCAGGATACTACAGTAAGATTTCCTGTAATTTTAAATTTACCCTAAGCTACGGGCCGCCTGATTTGCGCAGGGATGTGTGCGGTGGTGCACGGAAACGTGTCATTAGGTGTTTCTTTGTTAAGCCTGACTTTTTTGATCTGCATGCAGAGATATTACGGTTACTTTCAGATTATTCTAGCAAGATCTATAGGGATTTTGTTTTCTACCAGAAATTCCTACAAGGACACCGGACAATAAACTCCCGCCTCTCATGGCCTAGGACAGAGGCCTCCGCTCAGGCATTTTTTTGAAGCTCATGGTGCTTTGTCTGAAACATTTATGAAACGTTTATAGTTTATAATGCCGTGTGTGTAACATACAGACTACTGTCCACTGGCATAAAAGAAAATCTCTGCTGCCACCCGCACTGGGTTGTGTTGCAGGGCACCATTAATGATAATCAATTGCAGAAGTTTCTCCCGAGCTGGAGTCCTGACCACATCAGATTCTGCAGCTGAGCTGGACAACATTTTAGAAATTTAAACGCGCACAGAAACGTGGACGACGGTGGCCGCAGATCTCCTTGCCCTGCCGTCCCTGCAGAGACGTGGCTAGAGTGTGACACGTCGGTGGTTTGGGGCAAAATTTACAGGCGACTGTTGGTGGACATTTCAATAAACATCAAACTTCTTTCCGGCAAATTCAAGTGCTTAGCAAACATGGAAGTGGGAAATGGGCCCTGAAACGCCAGCTTGTTATTTTCACTATTTCAGGAAAAAACACACCGTGAAGCAAGACAGCCAACTCTCTTCTCTGTCACCAGTCCTGTACTTTTCATCACGAATGTAAACCAAGAGTCTTAACTCAAGGTTCTGACATCCATTTCCTGGTCCATCTCTCAGGTTCCATTTCCACTGCCGAGACCTTGCCCTGGGCTGCAAACTCGTTGTGAGTCTATCTTCCACGTGGACTGAGGGTGTTCAGCGCTGAAAACATCTGGGAAACGCCGTTAGCGCGAAGGGCGGGTTTATCTGTCCCGTCCAGATTTCCTCCCTGTCGTGATTCATTCTCCTGATGGAGAAGAGGAAACACTGCGCCTTGAGGTTGGAAGCTCCGATGCCCAGGCCGCCAGCCCGGTGCGGCAGCCCTCAGTCACCTCCTCGTTCACGTACGTCTTTCTAAAAGATGAGTACTGAGAGCACAGATTTTTATCAGTCACCATTCTCACCGATTCCCACCTACCGAGAGCCATGAGAAAGGCGGCCCCTTTGCGCAGGGAGGGTCTCCCGTGTCAAGAAAGCCCGGGACGCAGGCATGAAACAGGCACTGAGCCATCGCGCAGCCCCAAGCTGGGGGGGCCTCTTTGGCCTCGTCTGGACCTTCGGGTCTGGTGCTGTCTCCACGGCAGGACTCAGGCAGACGTGTGTGGTTGGGACTGGTTAGCAGTGAGGTGCTCTTTGTCAAGTCTGTCCTTTGGTTCTCACCCGCCGCCCGCCGTCCCCCAGTACATCATGTCCCCCGATCTAGTTCAGAACAATTTCAGGATCCTGGTAGTAACGCTCAGGCCTGACTCGACACCACACCCCTCGAACAGCTCTTTTCTCTTCCTGTCCTCTCTCAGAGGATCCGTCTGAGGCCCGAACCGGCCAGTCCCTCCCAACCCACCCATCCCCCGCCCCCTGCTCACTGGCCACGACGGCCCCTCCAGGGAGCAGGCACTGCCTCAGAGCTGTGTGTCTTCCTCCAGGCCCTGGGCCCGGGGTACGGGGAGTCACTAAAATCCCCCTCCTCCTCCCTTTGGCTGCAGCTCATTTCCCGGGAACAGGAAAGGCTCCTCAGTGTGGAAGGTCGCGGCCACAGTGGGTGGGAGTGACCTCCGCAAACCGCCCCTCCCAGCGAGCCTAGAATGCTGCGGCCTCCAGGCGATGCGTGGCCACAGACTCCTGGGCCTCACAGCTGCTGGGCTGTGTGTGGGCTGGCCCGCTGCCTGGGGGTGGCTGTCCAGCCCCGTCGCATGGCGGGGGCAGGGAGGACGCTCAGGAGTTTGCTCCCGGATCAGTGCTGGCACAGGGACCTGGGTGGGTGGCTGTGGCCCCGTGTCTGCCCCCTTGCCCTCCACCAGGAAGGCCCCACGGGCGGCACGGGGTGGGGGTGGCCCTGCTGGGCGTGTGCGTGTTCGTGGCACAGTGACTGTTTACTGCAAAGTGACACCATGCCATCTGCTCGTCCGGTGCATGTTCACTCGGGTGTTCTCTGCCCCTCTGTGCAGGGCTGCTCTGCCCCATGGCTCCCTGCGCCTTACATGCTGTTGGCCAGCCTGGCCGGGCCTGCCGGGGGGGGGGCTGTGTCCACGAGGACAGTGCTTACCACTGAGCAGGGGCCGGTTGTGCCGGTACGAGGTGGGCAGCTGGCCGACGTCCTCGGGCCGGCGGCCCATCACCCGGGCGAGGTGGCCGGTGTGGCGCAGACTCCCCACCACGATGCTGTGCAGGTACACGGGCTCGATGAAGTGGCAGAGCAGCGCGCCCTGCACACCCAGCACGTTCCACCTGCGGGGAGAGGGGGTCAACGGCCGGGCTGGGGAGGGCAGAGGGGCGGCCTCTCTTCCGTCCACCCTGTTGTCCTCAGGTGTCACCCTCCCCGTTGTGTTGCTGGCCTGCAGGGTGGCCACGGCTTCGGCGCTGTGGCCACTAGTGACCCTGAGTGCCGTCGGGGGGCTGGGCTGACGGCGGCTTTGCACGTGAATACACGTGGCTCCCTTTTCTGGAAAACGTGTTATTGGATGGAGTTAAATATTCGCTTGGGGACTTAAAATCAGATTTTTTAAAAAGGCGCTTTGTCCCCACAGCAGACCTGAGCTTTCCTTCCTGTTTGCTGGGAAGTACCAGAAATTGAACTGATTTCAGTTTAGGGAAAAACACCCTGTTCCCCTCCCTTTGTCAGACTCAGCATCAGAGGGACCCGCTGAGTTGACCTGGGGATGATGAGAGCCCAGATCGGAGGACAGGGCTGTCTTCTTGGAAGCAAATACAGCTCTGGGTGAGTTCGCTTCTGCCTGCAGAGACGCCCTCACACTGTAAGGTTCCCCCTAAATTTGGGTGATACGAGTATGTTATTTAAGGCAGGCCCAGACTCTGACAGGAAATGACCAGTTATGTGGTTTCCCCTTGGAATGAGGTGCTTGAAGCCCAGCCCCCATTGGTAACGGGCGCTGTGCAGCTGATTTCGTACATCATTGTTCTTCTCATTAACTGACATTTCTCCACTGTTAGAGCCACGGTTGTGGGGCCTCCACGCCGCACGTTTCTTTTCATGATTAATAAGGAGTCATTATGGTTCCCTCTCCTGAAGCAGTCAATTAGCACAGAATTCTTCCCATTAATTACCGAATGCTGGAGCCAGCAGACCCTACCTGGAGAGCAATCTGCTCTCAGAACCTGTGACACCAATTGCCTTAAAAAGTTCTCTTTAAATTTTATTCCAAAAACACAAGCAATTTAGCTGGCGATATTAATTTGCCTCAGAAGCATCGAGGTGAATGAGAAACATCTTTAAATCTCATGCAAGAAGAGGCAGCCATCTGGCTGGCGAGGGTGGAGCGCGCTTCCCCCCCGTAAGTGCAGGTCATTAAAGTAATGTGCTCACCCACATAAAGCGCAAGTGGAATATAAAAGGTAATATTTATATACAAACAGTTTAGTCCTACAATTTAAGCCGTCATTGGTTTTATGAAACGTTTACTTTAGTCTTACCAGATTTGCATAACTTCACTTAAAAAAATAACTGGTCATTTCCTGTCAGAGTCTGGGCCTGCCTCTCAGGAGTGAAGGCTGTCCCCAGGGTCCAAGGAGAGGGCCTACCCGAGGGAGCGTCGGGTTTGGACGGGACATTTGTGGAAGCAGCACAGGCCTTACAGCCGACTGCGGAGACCCCTCTGCTTGGCGACGCCGTTCCCGCCCCGACCTCCGTGTGACCCCACAGGCCAGCCCGGGCCCCGGGCAGCTTCTCCCTTGCTCCCCACTGGTAGCTTGAGAACCCTGACAAGGCCCAGGCGTGTGCACCCCTCCTGGGAAGGACTGAACTCATGGTTCTGAGTGGTGGCTGGGGGATCGGCTCCTTCGCTGAAACCTGAGCCCAGTATCTGCAGGCAGTGCCGAGCTCAGACCAGAATGAGGGGACGGTTACCCGCGTTCAGCACTCTGGACGCCCCCCTCCTTGTGCGAAGAGGCGGGGCAGGCTGGCCGGGGAAGAACCAGGTCAGCGAGTCTGTGTTGCAAGGTCTTGGTTTTCAGGTTCCACTGTTTGCGACCCCAGCGTGGGCCGTGCTGGGATTGGACGTGCTGGTGAGGGCGGCTTTTCCGGCCGTGAAGGGCCCGGACGTGGCAGGTTTGCAGCTACGGCCGTGGGTTCTGGGGCGTCTGTTGTGTCTCAGACAGTGGCGTTTGAACGTTTCTCGTCAGTGCGCAGCAGGGAAGTGGACGTCTCTCCCATCGACAGCAAAGCCCGTTCCTGAAACAAGCCGTCTCGAACGATGCGTTACTGTCCGGGGGGAAGTTCCTGGGCTTATGGCCACTCACGGGCTGGCTCTGAACAGAACTTCTGGAATGCACTTGAGTGGCTCTGATTCTGTGGGACCGTCTAAAGATAAACACGTTCCGTAGCTGGTTTCCTCCTAATAACCTTTCCAATAAAGGGACAATCAGCCCTCTCCTTGCCTGGCTGTAGGGGTTTAAGTTACTCAGCTAAGACCATCAATAAAGCCGCTGCCTCCCTGAATGTAAACCGGAGGGTTTGCAGCACTCAGGACTGAAGGGAGAAACGCCTCTCCTTTTGTTCAAACAGCCGGTATCACTGCCATGTTGACAGAGAAAAGTCCCATGTCTGGTTTTCAATATAGATAATCCCTAAGTAAATGTATTTTTGTTCGTCAGTCACTGAAATACCAGCGTAAGTGAGGGAGAGCTGCTGGGGGAGGCGCGCCGAGGGGGCTGTCCCGGGATGGGCCCTGCCCTGACCGGCACCCCCCGCCCTGGGGCGTGAGTTGGGAGCGGCGGTCACTGGTGTGGGCGCAGGGGCCCCAGTCTGCTGTGTTCACCCTGCGGCGCGGCCGGGAGCCGCGGTCCCAGCATGACGGTGAGGTCAGCACCGCGGGCGCCAAGCATCTCAGAGGAGCCTCCTTTCAACCCCTCTCCGTCTGTGGGCAGGCTGGCCTGTGGTCTGGACGCACAGCCGCCCCCATTGGGGAGGCCCCAGGCTGCGCTCAGGCCTGTCAGGTCCCCGCCGAAGGGCTGGGCGAGTTGGGCTTCGAGGTGCTGCTGGGGCTCCCAGCACTGTGCACCCTGGCTCATCTGGGGGCCTTGGGAACCGCCTGCTGCTGGTAGGGGTGCAGGTCTGGGTGCACCCAGCCGCTCGAATACAAGCCGGGGCGAAGCGGACAGCACAGATTCTGGCGTCCAGAAAACCAGGCCTGTCTCTCCTTGTCACTTGGCCCTCCCTTCTGTTTTCCGTCAACGTCCGTGATGTCCCCTGGTCTCCTAACTACTAGTCGGTTTTGCAGAGATGGTGCTTCCCAGCCCCCTGCGGCGTCCGGGGGCTAGGTGGGGGGTCGCTGCCGCCTCAGAGCTCTGTCGGCCCCACGGTGTCGTTGCAGGAGTCACAGAGGTGGCAGGAGCAGAGGTGGCAGTGCTCGCTGTTGCTGTGTTTACGTTGGGTAAGCATTCCTGGGTCATCACTGGGATCATGTGGAGGCAGAGCCGTGGGCCTTGAACCAAGCTGCGAGCGTTTAGCAAGAGCTGTTGTTTTAAAAGGACCTACAGTTTGAGACTTGGGGAGTGAACACCCTCCCCCCAGTTTCAGGTAAATCATCTGGCTGCCAGCCACCTGGGGAGGGGCTTGTTGGGTTCCCCGCGGAGGTGGGGTCTGGGGCCACAGAGACGAAGGGCCCGCCTCAGGAGGCGTGGAGGCGCAGGCCCCACACTCAGGGAGGGCTCTCCCAGCCTGGGTCCAGGACGGGCCTGGTTCCCCAGAGACAGCCTCACCCTTTACGGTTTATTTTCATGGAGAAAGTTTTCATCTGTTCATTTAAAGACACACTGCAATCAATAATCAAGCTCGGGCACTTAAAATTAGAAACCATATCTAAAGGGACATTAGTTCCAGGAGATTTAGAGTTTTATATGCACTCGGCTCTGGATTCTGAGGTGAGAGCCAGAACCCGCTCTGGCTCCCCGTCCTATCTGGGGGCCGGCGCGTGCCTGTTGGCAAGAGTTCAGAGCTGCTGCTTACAGCAGAACACCTGGCCGTGCCCAAGGGAGCACGGCCTCACGGGGACACTCATCACCTGGTCTTGGCTCTGGAGGCGCGGGGCTGGTCTGTTTCATCTCTTTTAGCGGAAGGAAAATCAGACCACGCTTTTGTGAGCAGGCCAAGCTGACGTGTGGTTTTGAAGGTCCGTTTTCATTGCCGTGCGAAGCAGCCCGCGTTCTGCAGTTTCACTCAGTCCGCGTCAGCCTGGCTTCAGTGGCGGCATCTCAGGAACAGGTTTCACGGGGCCGCTCTCTGGCTCTGTAACTTCCCCAGGGCCGCCTGAGCCGGGCCAGGCAGCAGTACCTCGTCCCGGTTGTGTCAGTTCCCAGGGCTGCTGTAGAAAAGCACCACAGACAGGGTGGCTCAAAACAGCGGACTTCCCTGCCCACAGCGCCGGAGACGGCAGCCTTCAGCGGGGGTGTTGGCAGGCCCCAGGCTCTCCCCCCGGCATTCCGTGGCTGTGAACACATCTCTCTGGGCTGCGCCCCACCTCCGTGGCCGCCTCTGGGCGTCTGCTCTGCGTCTGTCCTCAGCGCCCCTCTCGTAAGAAGTCGGTAATGGCATTCCAAGCCCACCTGAGCAGTCCTGGAGGAGCACTTCCTCTCGCCATCCGTAGCTGAGTCAGCGCTGCGAGTTCAGGCTCACTGCCTCTGGGCTTGGAGACAAGGACGTTTTTGGGGGCCACCGTTCAGCCCAGGCCAGCCGCTGGGGCCCACGGGGGGACCTCGCTGTTCACCGTGTGCCGTGGGCTCCGCGACTCCACCGGGGAAGACTGTCCTGAGTACCTCCTCGGAGGTATGGAAACAAGCTTCTGAACAAAGGTGTCACAGGGACCGTGACTCACAGAGCAGTCACCTGGAAACGCCCAGGTGCCCGGTGGCGGGAAGTGTCCCCACAGTGCTGCCCCGCGTTAGAGTGCACTTGCTTTAAACTGGGCCATGGTGACGGCGTTCGGTAACAGACGGCAGGGAAACTGCTCTGAGCAGCAGGGTCTGACCACAGGCAGAGCGTGCGTCTGGGGGAAAGAGGGGCGCAGACAGCCCCAGGCCCCTGCTGTCCTCCCTGGGCACCTGCTGGCTGTCTTTCCCATGTTCCACATCTCCTACTGTTTCTCTGCCGTGTTTCGTGTCTTAATGGGAAGACCTTCTAAGGCGAGATGCCACGCCCCGCGGCTGATTCCCAGCGGCAGGTATGATCAGACAGTCCCATCACACCTTCCCAATCACCTGGACGCACAAGAAGTCCGTCCTCTGGTGGACTTAGGATCATGGTGGCCATGGAGATGCAGAGGCTGCAGCTTGGTTCTGGTTTTGGCATGAGTGGCCCTCCCCCGAGGGCTTGGGCCTTCCACCTGGAGATCTGAACCAGCGTTTATCTGCAAGATGGCATTTTGCTCTAAGCTTTTAAGTAAAATTTCTTTTCAGCCAAAAATCTAACTTTCAAAACACTTTCGCGGCCCAAGAATTTCCCTGGGAAATCCAGTGACTGTTCCAAGCCAAAGAAATCAGGTTTTGTTTCTGTTGTGTCAACATCAAAACTGTGTTAAGGGAGAGACAGTGTAGCTGGCGTGTCCCTGCGTCAGGCTTTGGGGTCCTTCCGCTGGGGGAGGGAGCTCCCACGTGACCGGGGTGTCCAGCCAACGTCTGCTCCGCCGTGTTGGGTGTTCTGGCTTTGGGAGCAGGTCAAACGTCTCCACCCTCCAGAGCACAGTGACACCCGGGTGTCACCTTCAGACATTGCTGAATGTGACATCACTCAGGAACCTGGGGACGTGCTGTGCTCGCCGAGTCCGTCAGCTTTGCAACCTGGGGGAGCAGGCCTGGCCTGGCAGCCTGAGTCCCGGTTCCCACACCGTTGAAGGGTGTTTGGCGATAATGACCTTCAGGTAACGCGGTGGCCCTTCCCTGGGACAGCCGCCTTGACGGCTGGGCTTCTGAGAACGCTGTGCAGAGTTTCTAGCTGCAAGTGCGGCCCCGTCCAGGCTCTTGGGTCCTGGGTCAGGTCCTTTCCAGCCACTTGGCCTGGGTGAGTTCTGCTAATTGTCCAGTGTGGCTACCCTCCACCGCCCTGTCCTTGACAGCCCTGCTGGACTCTGTGTGTCTTCACAGTCAAGCCTGCCTGAGTCCCCTCTGTCCAGCCTCGCGCGTTCCCCACAGAGCAGGACGTCCCCTGTCCCATGGGCCATTCTGCTGGGCCTGGGCCATGTACAGATGCCACCTGAGGGAGGGGACCCCGCACTGCACATGGAGGAGTGTGGGGCCACTCAGGTTACGGATCCTGAGTCAGGGCACACAGCTGGACTGCAGCCCACTGCCTCAGGGCTGGTCCCCGTGAGCCCCCCACCCATGGCCACTCCATGTCTGTGTTTGAGAGTGTGGTGAGTGTCACGGGAACCCGCTGCTCTCGCCAAGCAGGCAGTGGGTGACCCTAGGCTCACAGGACGGTGAGGGAGGCCCCTGACAGGGAGGAAAGCTGCCTCTCTGGTCTCTGCACGGGGCTGCCCTCCTCAGATGGGAGAAACTAGCTGTCAGGTGGTTCCTAGGAAGTGTAAGGTCTCCTGAGAAAGGTTCTGACACCGACCTTCCGGTAAGATTCTCACCCTCTTCGGAACCGGGACCACCCAAAACCCCGCCCCCGCCCCCCACGTCGCCCCGCAGACTAGGCGACTGGTGCTTTAGGGCTGAAGAAAGTCCCCAAAAGAGAGAGGGCCGAGGAGACGGTAGGTAGCATTCACGGGAAGGTGAAAAGTCACCCCGTGACGGACTCCAGGAAGCTTCCCATGTTTTATGGCTCGTTTCAAACCACTGGAAGCGTTTCAGACTTTCTGTGACACGTTTTGCTGCAAACCTCCCTCACCAGTGACTTTGTAAAGTGAGCTCAGTCATTCCTCATGGAATTCCATGCCCGGGAGAATGCTGGTTATGGCTATATTTATATTATTATTCAGGTGTTACTGACCCAAAAAGTGATACTTTCAAGCTGGAGGCGGGAAATAATGCAGCCGGGAAATAATGCAGCCGGGTTGGTTGCTGAGAACTGTTATTCTAACTGGCCGAGTTCAGCTTTCATTGACACCAAAGTGGGGTTTGCAAAGAGAATGACAAGTTTCTCCAGCGCATGGACTTTCTCCACCTTAATTAAAGATGCAGTGTGTTCACTTATTTTTATTTGAATTCATAAAAAATCTCACAAAGCAGGTGATGAGAAGTCAGACCTTTCTCTTCCGAGGCCGCTCTGACAAAACCACCTCTATCACTGGGGGTTCTAAGTTCCGACGGGCATGTGGCCGTGGGCTCCAAGCTGCGTTTGGGAGAAGAAGGAATCAGTCACAGCTGGTTATGCACACATCCCTAAAATTATGGGCAGCACGAGTAATGATTAGCTCTCACTCCTGAGGAGGACGACAGCTGGGGAGTGTGGACAAGGACCTCGTTTTCACCTTCCACGAGTCGTCCGCGTGGGCACCGGAAGGCTCGCTGGCCTTCGTGATTTCTGGTTGTCATGCCGTCGTTCATGTTTGCTGGCCCGGGTGCAGAGACGTGGTGTATGGACGCCTGGTCAGACGGGGCGGCTGGAGCATCGTGCCCGGAGCCCGCGCCCTGGCGTCTCCCACGTTCTGTCATCGACGATAATCTTGTCCCTGACGTGCCTCGTCCACAGCAAGGACGCTGGTTTTCAGCTCTTGCCCATTTCTCCGGGGTGAGGGCCATCCCTGCGGTGGACCCCAAGCGGCCACGCCCCCCGAGCATTGATGTGGTGGGATGCGCGGGCCCCATGTCTGGTGGTGTCTCCACAGGCGGACATGGTGGGTGTGAATGATTTCAGGAGCAGTTCTTAACAGTTGTGGTAAAACAGAAGTGCTTAGTTTGGAATACTTGTTGTTTTTGTTTAATGTAACCTATTTAGTTGTGAGTTTATGTAATTTAATTTTTAATAACGACTGTGTTTGACAACTGACTTAAGAATTGCCTGAAAATAACCAGCTCTCGCAGCCGAGTGGGTTTAGCTGCCCGGGGGCGGGTTCCGGGGGTATAGGTGTATTTATGGCACGTGTCCCACGGAGAGGGACCGCAACTTCCACATCCTCGGATCCTAGGGCCGCGCTCTCCTTGCGGAGCCTGGAGCGGTGTCAGTTCTGGAGCTGCGTACTTCCTGTGCATTTGTGTGCGCAGGGTGCTTGCTTTTGAATTAATACTTAACCCTTGGTTGAATTTTTGTTTCTAGACCGGACAGGAAACAGATGAACACATCCATCATCAGATAGTCGCTCTGCGGAGCCTTTGCACAGAAATGCACATTAGAGGTGCTTGTGGTCCTGAATCAATAGCGTAACATATGTGTTTTCACCTAAAAATGGTAGCAGTGTCTCCGTCCTGCTTTGGAGTGCATTCTGCAGGGCTAGATCAGGGCAGACGCATCCACGCCCTTGGAGGAAGCTGCTGGCAGCCCTCCCCACCCCTCTCACCATCAGCGCATCAGCCACTCCCTGCGAGCCAGCGACCCCGAGGCTGCGAGCTTCGAGCTTTGAGCTTCGGTGCAGGAGCAGGAGGTGTGGGTGAGGACGTTCCTGCAGTTTCAGTGCAGAGGGGCCTGGAGGAGAGGTAAGATGCTGGGCTTGTCCAGGGAGGACAGATCAGGGGGAGACGGGAGGGAGCAGAGAGAAGGCAGGAGGTGGCCCCTCCTGCCTGGTGGGCTCCCTCCCTCCACACCACCCACCTGGCCGCCAGACTGGCGACCAGAACTAGGTGAGTGGGTCAGTTCCCGGGCGGGTTCGGGGGAACTCCTAGCCTGCCTGGAGCCATGGGCATCACAGCGTCCCCTCCAAAGCAGTCTGGAATTCTCCTCAGCCAGGGATGTGATGTGGACCATGTGTTTTAGGTGGACTTCGACGTCCATCAGTGATGCTCTTTTTAACAGTTCCCCACATCGCGCAGGTTTTGTCAAGACCCTGAGACAATGAAATGTAAGTTCTGTAGTGTTAATTGACCAAGCTCTCCTAGGGAGCTGGAGCTCCTTTGGAAACCCAGTGCCACCGGAGGCTGCCTGCTGCTCTTCCCACTTCACGCAGAGACGAGGCTCTGCGGAGGAGGGACGTGCTTCCTCTGAAGCACGAAGTCAGCTGAGGACCACGGCTGGTCCCTCTGATACACACGTCGGTCCTCTGGTTCAGCCTCGTTAGGCCAGGAGCCATCACTCCAGGGATGGAAGTGGCCCTATTTGTCCTGCAGCCATTTGCGAGTTTTCTATGAGAATTCGGATCCCTGTTCACAGTGGGCTGAAGTTTTACCTGCCTGTAGCCGGGGAAGACGCAGAGCAAGGCCCCTGTAGGCGGGGTCGGGGTGGGGGGGTCCCCGCCAAGCCCTCTGATGGCTCTGCTCTGCTTCCCGGGCACAGGTGGTGAGGGGACGCATGCAGAACCGAAGGCGCTCAGCCCTCGTGTGTCCGGGGCTGCAGGCGGCCACGTGGTGGGAGGGGCTGAGCGATGACCCGCCCCACCCCCACCCGGCCTGAGGCTCCCGTCAGGTGGACACCCTCCCCCTTGCTGTGCTGAGATGCTCCACGCACGTCCGGACATGCGCCCGCGGAGTGGCACCTGGGAGGGGGTGTCCAAGCACGTGGGCCGAGGGCAGCGCTGACCGCTCGGTGCCGCCGCCCGCGGGGAGGACCTGACCGCACCTCCGGGAGGACCTCAGATGCGCATGTCCGTATGGGGTGGTCCGCCGCCCCCTCCCCCCCGACAGGGCAGCGCTGGCGCCAGGGGAGAGAGGGCCGTTACCTGGCGATCTTGTCCGTGCAGGACATGGTGACCAGCTGCTCACCCAGCAGGACGCCGTCCCACGTCTGCACTGCGGCCGGGCTGCGCACCGGCACCGTCCCCTCCCCGGACTCGATCTTCGTGCGCAGGTGCCCCCGGAACTTCCTGGCCAGGGGCTTGCCGCTGCTCACTAGGGGACGAGAGCGCGGGAAGGGGCGGGGGGGTCAGGGGCGCAGAGGGGCCCCAGTGCAGGGGCGGAGGGGAGGGGGCACACCCGCAGACACCTCGGGACGACCTGCCGTGGTCAAGGGTTAGGCCAGGGGCTCGGGTTTTGGAGGTCAGTGCCCGCAGGGGGCTTCTGCAGCCGGCTCAGAGCCCCTTTCCACCCAGCTCAGCTGGCTGGCGTCTCAGCAGGGGGCCCTGCCCTACCCCCTGCCGGGTGCTGAGCAGGGCCGGGTGTGGAGGGCCTGCGATGGTGACACTTTGCTGCAGACTAACGTGTGGGGTCTACATCATTTTCACCCTTTCCAGCCATTGAAAACCGTGAAGCCACACCCAGTGCTCAGGTCACACAGACACAGGGTGGGTGGGCCCTGGAGGATGGTGGTCTGTGAGCCTGGCTCTACAGCTGCACAGCCTTGAAATGTTAAAACCACTGGTGCAGCTGTTTTGTCTAAAATGGGGACAGTGATGGCCCCTCTTAGCCTGAGGGGCCTGAGTGAGACAGGACGCGTGAGCGAGCCTGCTGCCCCCAGAGGCTAGGTGAGGCAGGCACGCTGCTCCCTGACAGGTGAGGGAGCCCCTGGGGGTCCTTAGTGCACGTGTCACCCGACCTCCCTCCTTGCCTTCCCAGAGCCCCACCACACACACACTTACTTGAAGAGCTAGCTTGAACAAGAAGAAGATTAAATCTGCTTCTGTTTTCTTTAAAAAAGTTGTGTACATTTAGTCTGGATTATATTATAGAAATTGTTAACTACTTTGCATAAAATTATACATAAAATAGCATAGTGATACCAGCATTTACATGCACTTGGTAACATGGATGAATCCTAAATGCTTTCTTTAAAAAGTGTCTATGTACTGTAATTCAAAAGTTCCATGCACCCCCAGCGTTCACAGCAGCACTATTTACGATGGTCAAGACATGGAAGCCACCTAAATGTCCACTGACAGATGACTGGATAAAGATGTGATATACTTATACACTGGAATACTACTCAGCCATAAAAAAGAATGAAATAATGCCATTTGCAGCAACATGGATGGACCTGGAGATGATCATACTAAGTGAAGTAAGACAGAGAAAGATAATTATCAGATATCACTTATATGTGGAATCTAAAAAAAAAACACAAATGAACTTACTAAACAGAAACAGACTTACATAGAAAACAAACTTATGGTTACCGTGGGGGAAGGGGGTGGGAAGGGATAAATTGGGAGCTTGAGATTTGCAGATACTAATATATATAAAATAGATAAACAGTATGTTTCTACTGAATAGCACAAGGAGCTATATTCAGTACCTTGTAGTAACGTAAAATGGAAAAGAATATGAAGAGGAATGTGTGTATGTATGACTGAATCACTTTGCTGTGCACCAGAAATCAACACATTATAAACTGACTATATAGTTCAGTAAAAAAAATTTTTCTATGTAAATTATTTAGAATTTGTAGAAACAGATTTCTCCCTCAATTACCCTCACTGAAGGCACCAAATAATGACTAACATTTGGGTTTATATGGGCACCTTCTCTTCCAGATCTCAGAGTAACTTCCAGTATAGTTTATCATGGTTTCTAGGAACTGAAGTTCTCTTACTGTGTATTCATAGTACCTAACGGCCTTCTCCTGGGAAGAAAATTGCTGCATTCCTTGGAGAAAGTAAACTTTTGAGAGGCCTGAGTTTTGGCTGTGGTACCGACCCCGTGCTTGATGAGATCGACTTTGGACAGGCCTCTGAGTCACCCATGGAAGGAAAGTCTGAGCTGAGAGACTGAGCCTGGGTGCTCACGGCCTAGGAATGCCCAGCCCTCCCCCAGGGAGAGCCTGAACCTCTTTTTGGCTGTTACCTGGCATTAGGGATCAGGTGGTGATGGTGGTGGTGCTGGTGCAGATGGTGATGCTCGTGGTGGTGATGCTGGTGATGACTGTGGTGGTTTTGCTGATGCAGGTGACAGTGTTGATGGTGATGACGGTGATGGTGATGACTCTGAAGATGGGGATGGTGACACTGAGACGATGATGATGATGATAATGATGGTGAGAAATTGAACAAAATATTTCATGACTCAAAAACACGTGAGCTCAGCTTTGGTTTAACCTGACTTTTCCACTGCTGGGGAGGGTCTTTATCATGTCAGCCTCCCGCGGCAGGTGCACTGAGAGGGCGGGGGCCAGCTTGGCTAACAGCTCCCACCGTTTGCTGCACGTTAGGCACTGAGGTCGTCTGTTGGGGGGATATTTTCTCGGGAACGTGGCACTCGTTTCCCTCTCTGATGTGAACGCATTAATTACCAGATGTTCTCTCTGCAGCTGTTATGCCACTTTCCAGACCTTGAGCTTTGCCTGTCACGCCGTAAAGCTCTTCTGAATCCCCACCCAGTGCCCGGTGCAGCTGCCTTTCCAGGAAGCAGACTTTGCAGCTTGTTAGCGCCGTGACAGCGCCGAGGCCTGGCTTGATTAAAAACTGGTTTCTCGGAGTTAACCTCAAGTTTTCAGGTAGATTAATTTTTCCTGAAGAGCCAGGTGCACAAGATGCTCCTGAGAAGTGTTTATCTTCAGGGGCGCTAAATCTCGGGCTGCCATCACCATGCGCCCCTGCCGAGCACCGTCAGCCCTGGGGTCTGAGTGCTGCAGTCCCGTCTCCTCTGGCTCCTCCTCGCCTGACTGTGAGAGGCTGGAGGGAGTCGAAGATGCCACGTGAAGCAGAACAAAATGCCAGTCCAACCAGAAAGTGCGGGGAACTGACCTTCATAACCTGTAGGGCCCGAGACAATGGTGTGGGACACTGCAACCCCGCCTGCCGTGGACACAGAAATACTCCCGGGCCCAGAAGAACACGCTCCTCTGACCCATCCTCCAGGGCCCTCCCTGTGGTGCTCATCTGCCTACAGCGCTCTCCGTGGAGACGGACGCCGTAGGAACCCTTTAGAAAGTTATTCAACTGACTTTCATTTTTAGGGGAGAGTCAGACGAGATGGAGACAATGGCATTGAGGAAGGCCGCCGAGGGAGCAGAGCTTCTGAAACGGGTGCAGGGGTGCCCTGACGGGGTGGGGGGCGAGCCAGAGTGGAGGACAGTGGAGGACAGCGGTTTAAGCCCCAGACAAGCGTTCAGTGTTCACCTCATCTTCAGGAGGGACGGGGCCTTTGGGTTCTCTCGTCCCGGCTGACCCAGTGGGGAGGTGACGCAGGACTCCTGGCTGACACTGCATCCCAGGGACGGCTCGGCCCGTAGGAAGTGCTGGCAGAGGCAGCGGCCGGAATAGCTCGGAGCAGCACAAAGTGAGCAAAACGCTGCGTTTTCCCCTCCTACCTGCACCTGCTGCTTCTGAAAAGCACCACGAGGTGAAGACACCTGAGTCTGGAAGTGAGCCCCAGGGCGCACGGGGGAAGGTAATCTCCTAGATTACCAGCTCTGCAGGCTGGAACTGAGGGCCAGGGAGGCCGCAGCAGGCGCCGTGCGCAGAGACTCACGCGGGAAAGAGAGGAGCCTTCACTGCCCCTCGGCAGGGACCGCGGTCGGGGGGCGGGGACGGAGTGGGGACCGAGGCCCCGCTGGCCTCACTCTCCCTGCGGCCCCCGAAAGGAGGCTGAGAGTCAGGGCCTCGCCTGCTCTGCGGGGGTTTCCTCCCGGCTGAGGGCTGCTAGGCTGGGTCTTCACCACGCGAGACTTCTGAGAGGACGCGCAAAGGTAATTCCACGTAGGTGTCCAACGGGCCCCATCTCAGTTCTACGTGCAGGTCCAGCCTGATGAGTGCCCCCAGAAAAGTTAGGTCAGCGCCACACGTTCTTGTTCTGAGGCTGCATCGCCCTGAAGGAACACTTCGCGCAACGCCTCGGCGCCCTCAGAGGGCTCCCTCCTGGTGAGGATGCAGGGAGAGTCACTGTCTGCACCGCCCACCAGCAGGGGCTGTCCCCCGACCCAGAACCTGCCGACCCCCTGAGCTGTGGGCACCCACCGTCTGTCATCCACAAATCCCAGCCCGCGGTGCTGGGCAGGGCAGCCCGGGCTGAGGCAGCGATGTGGGTGTTACTGGGACCCCACTGCAGGGGCTTCCGTCCAGCCGCTCCCCAGGGGGAGGCCAGGGGCCTGGAGGAAGGTTGGCACAAGCAGAAGGCACTTTTCTGGGCCTGCATCCAATCTTAGCGTTAGAGCAGTAGGTTCCGTCCAGGCGGGATCTGTAAAGAGCGGTCCTCCCTGGCGCGTCTTTGTCTTCGGCGGAGGCGCCATCACAGCAATCAGGGCGTGCTCCTCTCGCCTCTCCTTGGTGACCGGAGCAGTCACCTTCCAGGGGCAACCAGGGCCCAAACGCGCTTCGGTGGCTGTCATCTGCTGCAGGTCCCCTGAGCGCCAGATGGAGCCTTGGGCTCTTCAGCATCTTAGTTGGGACCAGATCCCTTGTCACATAAGGTGCTCGGTGTCACGGCCTACGTCAGTGTGTGCATGTGTGCACTCGAGTGTGTAACTACACACGTGCCATCAGTAACAGACCTTCCCGATGGTACCTGGGAGACACCAACATCACAAGACCCGCGTGGAGGAGCCAGCGCGTCCTCCCCACTGGAACTCGGTGTCACCTCCTGGGCGGGGGCCCCTGCTCTCATGGGATCCCAGGAGGGGAGGTCCTGCCCGGGCGTTCGCACCAGCTTTCTGGGTGACGCCAGTTCCCGCCGGGCACCACCCTCTGAGTTAAGAGGCTGCGCTTTATTCTCCCCCGTGTCGCGGATGGAGGTGGACACAGTGCACCTGAGCCCATGCCATTCGAACGCCATGTGATCCTGGTTTGTGTTCCGCTCAGATTTGCCCTCCGTCCTGGACACAGTGGCTGCCTTACCTGCGGGGGCCAGGGTGCCTGGCCATCCCAGCACCTATGGTGGGGCCAACCGACGTCCTTCCAAGTCCAGCGACCCCCATCCCTGGGCTCTCAGAGGTCTGCCTGCGACCTCAATAGGTACAGTATGTTTGTTACTGGACGCGTTCGCCCTGACAGACTCATAGCCACAGGCAACGCCTCATCTCACAGCAGCTCAGCCCACCTCACCAGAGACTAAACCCCACTGCCCCTCACGGACCCCAAACCTCTTACCTCACCTGCAGCAATCAGACACTTTGCACAAGCCGATCTGGCACCTTGTGACCCCGCCTTATAAAAGGCCCCAACAGCTGGCGCTCGGGGCTCACACGGGCACCTGTCTCCCGTGTGGCTATTGCTGCCTCTGGCAGTGTAACTACTAAACCCCTTTGCTGTCCTCTGTCTCCAGTAAATTCTTGTACCAACCCGCGTCACCGGCCCACTTTTGCGTGGTCCCACAAGACCAGTTTTACGTCTCTGGCTGCTCCCCTCCTGGGGCTGTGGGGACTTCAGACCAGTGTCTTGGAGGAGCTCATCCCGCTGCTGAGACCCCGCCCTCTCCACCCGCCCCGTCAGCGGTGTCTGAGCGCAGCCTGGACCTGAGCCCGAGTGGGGAGGGGAGGTGGGCCGTTTGTGTAAAAAGGGTAGAAACGTGGCCTCTTACGGTCTGTGGTGATTTCGTGGGGCGAGTTGAGCCGTGCGTCTCCGCAGGGGGATGTGCTCACATACAGGTGGAACTGGGTGTCCTCCCGCAGCCGGTAGCCGCCCTCCTGCGACCGCACGAAGATGGAGCGCTCACCGTCCTCCCGCCGCTTGCTGGGGTGAGACAGGTCGGTCAGTGCCCAGGAGGCCATGCCACCCCGAGCCGAGCTGTCCTCCCCAGCCTCTGCCCTCGTCACCCCTGTGCCGGGTTTTCTCATCGTGAGAAAACTTGTCGCCTGGCTGGCGGTGCAGCTGTGTCTGCACCATCCCCGCCGGCCACTTATCAGGCCCACCCTCACCAGCCCAGCTTCCTTGTATGTGTGACCCTGAATCTGTGTGTGTGTAACACACCCATTCTGTGGACCACAGGGTGTGCTCGTGGTCCCTGTGAGCCACACATTCTGCATCAGGAGGACAGGGACTGAGGAACAGGGCTCAGCCGCAGCCCCGAGAGGAATCCAGTGCACAGTTCCCTTCTGCATCGGCCAGGCTCCCCCACCTCCTGGCGGCGAGGAGGCCCCGTCATGCCCTGGGCGAGCCTGGCTGCATCCCCTCCCAGCCCTGGTCCCCACCAGTCACAGGCGGCTCCTTTCTGCCGGTCTTGCTCTTTTTACACGTTCTGCCCCATTGGTGATGGATTCTGAGATCACAGAGGCAGCAAAACAGACATTTTCTCCCCAGGAAACCCTGGAGGCACCCCACCAGCCTCTCTGCTTCCCTGCCTCTGCTCCATCTGCTGCCAGCCCCTCCCTGGACCTGGAGCAAATGCCTGGCCCAGGCTCGTCCCCCTGGACCCCCGAGGGCAGGGGCCCGACACACAGTGCCAGCACATGCCAGCCCCTCAGCCGGCATGACACACGTGGAGGTGGGGGTATTTGGAAATACCTCTGACTGGAAGTTGGTATTTAGAAGAGGAACCCTTCCCACACTTGGATACATTCTACCTCCATTTTCCACTTTCTGTGTGCTCGTTGGCCTGGACCATGGGGGGAACACCCACTGGGCTCAGCTAAGAGCCAGCCACATTGCTGAGGCATTGCTTTCCTTGAGCCTGCTCGGCGCCTCCTGTCCCCACCTGCGTGGCTGCTGCACGTGCCCAGGCCGCACGTGTCACTCCTTGGACTTTCCCACCCCCGCAGAGAGCCACAGCAGGGGGTCTGACGGACGCCGCAGTGAAGGACACGGAGGGACAGTGTTTCTGGCGGAGACGCCCCACTGTGCAAAACACCCTGCGTGTCCGCTCCCAGGTGGGACGTTGTTGAGGGAGGTACCCCCAGGGGACAGTAGAACCGACAGCGCTGGGCATCTGACATCCGGGCACAGGGCTCAGGGTCTCCATCACAGGCCCCCCCTTAACAGGCAGACACGCAGGAGGGAGAAGGCAAGAAGCCGGGAGAAAGCCCATCGCCGGTCGCCTCCATTGTGGTGCCTGGGATGAGGTGCAGGACTGGGTCTCATGGTGGGGTGGGGTTCATGGGGACACAGTGGGGGCATGTCCGGGTCATGGAGTCCAGGGGCCCCAGGACTAGGCCTGGGGTGGCAACAGACACAGCCTAGCACCTGGGAGGGACCCACGGCCATTGTGCAGAAACCTGCCTGGTAAGAAGGTCCCTTGGCTGAGAAAGTGTCAGGACCAGGCCGGGGCCAGTCGAGGGTGCACAAGCTCTCCCACACTTCTGTGGTCAGATGCACGAGGAAATACCAACCACGGTCCCCCTGATGTGGCTGGGAGGAGTCTGCATCACTGTCTGACCCACCCCGGCTCCCTCGGGGACCCTGCCTGTTTTGGGGGGACAGGCCCAGCTCCCAGGACAGCAGCCTTTGCTGGTGCTGGGACTGGCAGCTGGAGGCCATGCAGGGAGGAGCCCCGGCCTCACTTAAACCCTGGGGGTGGGGGTGGGCAGTTTAAGCAGAGCCGGTGGCTGTTCCTCTAGGGGACATCTCTGCGCCCCTCTGCCCAGCCCTGCCTCAGGGTGTGGGCGGTGAACCGGGAAACACTCCACTGGTCACGGGCAGCTGTGCTGACCCCTCACCCCCTGAACGGCCTCCTTGACATGGGGTGCACTCTGGCCTTTGTTCACGGGGCGCTGCCGTCGTGGGGACGCCACCCCACACGGCCCCCCTGCTCTGGGCAGAGTGCACCCCAGACTCGTGTGTTGAAGCCCCAGCCCCTGTGTGGTGTCTGTGAGGGTGGAGCCCCCTTGATGGGACAAGCGTCTCTGTAAGAAGAGGCCTGTCCCCAGGTGGGGACACAGAGTGGGGCAGCTGCCTGCCAGCCCGGAGGGGGTGCACAACGACCCTGGACTGACCCTGCTGCTCCCTGAGCCCTGATGCCTGGCCCCCAGGCTGACAGCAGCTGTGACCGTGGCTATGGCACCTGCGCCCTTCTCATTAGGATGGGCCCGTGACATGCGTGTTTGTGCGTGTGGGGGATGTGACCCGTGTAACGTGTGCGCACCTGCAGACCATCTGCTGCAGTCACTCGTGGGCCTGTGGACGAGGCCCAGCCCAGAAGCAACGCCTGACCAGAACGTGGCTTTCGGGGGCCTGGCTGTCAGCCGTGCAGGTGGCTGTGCATCTCCTGCCCGGCGCCCCCACCCGGCCCGCTTACCTCAGGTGCAGCTCCAGCTGTGCGTACAGGAAGTGGACCAGCGCCCTCCTGGCCACGATCTCTGCGTGGCAGTCGTTGACCACCAGCCCCTGGTCGTTGATGTGGTCGCCACTGATGCACTTGGTCCCCGAGGACAGGACGACCACCTGGGCTTGCCTGACGTCCAGGCCTGTGGGACAGAGAAGGCATTAGGACCTGCCGCTGCCCGCCCCCTGGGCTCTCCGCTTCGCCTGAGCCAGGGTTCACCTCCCTGCCGCCAGCCAGGGCACCGCCGGGGGCACCACGCAGCCAGGCCTGTGCACGGGGCAGGTGCTGGGGGAGGCCGAGTGCGCTGCTCGGCTGTGCTGCCCAGGGGTCGTGTGGGACGCCGCTCACTTCTCAAAAGCAGGTCGGGCCCCGAGCGCCTTCCAGCACCAACTCTGTCTGATAGGCATGGGCGCGAGGGCTGCGTCTCCCCATGTGTGTGACCCAGACAGGGTGGGACTTGCCCCCAAACAAGCCCGGCCCATGGCGGGAGGAGGCCTGGCCACTGACTTCCACCTGCGGCTCCCATGGGCTGAGCGCAGGGCCCTCCCGGCCACCGACCTGACTCCGCAGACGAAGCCCGGGAACCCTGTCCCCGGCCTGTGGTGGGCGGCCAGTCACCCCTGAATTGGAAGATCGCTGATGGGGGCTGACAGCCCTTCCTCCACTAGGAAGGCGCTGTGCCCAGGACAGCAGGGGCGCCTGTGAGAACCGGCCCCTTGCCTCGGCGGCTCTCCCCCGAAGCAGCACAGCCCTGCCTCTGGGGGGCGAGCCCAGCGGTGAGGAGTTGGAGGAGCAAGCGCCACACCCAGCCACCCATGCCACGGCTCCTGGGAACGTGCAGCCGGGCGGGAGACTGCAGGACGCCTGGCCCAGCGCGTCCGTCTCCAGACCGCACCTCACAGCTGCTGCCCAGGGTGCGGGGCCCTGGCGGGAGCTGCCCAGGGCCCTGGCCTCGTCTCTAGAGCTCCAGACACTCAGCCTCACCCCCAAGAACAGTGCGCGACGTTGCAAGGCAGCGGTTGCAGGAAGCCCTGCGAGTTTTCTGACTCGACGCGCAGACTTTCCGCAGGGCAGGTGCGAGGGAGTGACGCCTCCCGTTCCACCTAGCACCTTCCGTCCTGAGACCCCTTACGGCCCCACAGGGGCAAAGGAGGGCAGCCCCACCGTGTCCCCTCCCCTCCTGGGCTCGCCCAGGGCTGTGCACAGCTGTTTCCTGGCAACCTCATGGGTCCGTGGTGAGAACTAGCAGCGAGGCTTCCGTCCATCTGTCTGGTGTGGCCGTGGCTCGGACCCGCTCGGGGAGGACCAGCCGCAGGTGCACCCCTGCTGTCGTTAGTGTCACACGTGCTCTTTGTTTAAGAGCAGTCGGTCCCGAGGTCAGACTCACGAACAGGCCATTTTCTGACTCTGAGCCCAGGTTCCTGGCCATGGAAGCGGGGTGATGTTCGCTGTGGTGTAGAGACCCCCTCCTGCCTGTCTTGGCCTCAGTTCCCTTCTCTCCCGATAGGCCTGACTCCAAGGCAGGAGCTGGTGTCTCCTTCACATGAGACAGCAGTCAGAGGCACCTTGTCAACAGAAAGGATGTTCTGGAAAGAAAGGACGACAAACGAGAAGGCCGGACGCTGGGTTTCTGTGAATGTCTCATGGGCCGCCGTGCTTGGGGGCCTCCTTTCTGCCGACCTCACAGGTCAGTGAGGGGAGCTGCATTTTTCTCCCCGCTCGAGGGCAGGAGCCAGAATTTCCACAAACTATTCCAGGAAGGGCACCAGGAGAGGTCTGGGCGGCACCCTGAGCTGGTGACAGTCTGAGCCGGGACCTCCGAGGATGCTGCTGGCGCATTTACCTGCTGCGGCTGCTTGTTCCCAGTGCTGGACTCCGGGCTGCGTGTGTTCTGTCTGTTCCTGACAGTTTCATAGCCAGTTTCTCCAACAAGTCTGCATCCGGGTCATTTCTCTGATGAGGTGGGATGCAGACCCCAGGCAGGCGAGAGTGCAGCTTCTGTTTTTAATAAAAGTTGCTTCCCAAAGGCCACATGGTGCTAGGCGTGTGGTCAGTTCTTTATACGAGCCTGCTGCTCTGAAGTGAAACTTCCTACCCCGAGAACTTGGTTCTAAGCCCAAAGACGCCACTCCTCCTGTCCCCACACACGCTGGCTCTTGCTTTGCGAGATGAGGATGTGGGTGCTGGGGGGAGAAGTGGGGACAAGCCGCTGCCCCGAGACCAGCAAGCAGGATGCGAATTCAGGACAGAGGTCTGCTCACCAGCCTTTCGGGGTGGACCCCAAGTATGCACGGTGGTTACTGGTCACCTCCTTCCTGATAAAATGGGTAACGAGAGCACGCTGTTTCCCCGTAGGACAACGTGGGAGATGGTCCTAGAAACACACCATAGCGGTCCCACGGAATAGACAAAAAAAGTGATCAAAGAGCTCCTCCCCGCCAAATCCCCGAGCCCAGTTGGTTCTGGGGGACGAGTCTCCCGGCTTTTAAGCAGCAGACGACTTCAAGGCTATTTAATGAGTTCCTGGGCACCGTAAAGATGAGGAAACGTCCAGTGGTTTTTATGAGGAGACGCCCATGTTACCAGTCTACCCACCTGACTATGTCACACAGAGAACTACAGAGGACCCATACAAAATTATGAATAAAATACTACCCAGGCATCAGAGAAACAGGGCAACACAGTAATTACTGTAATGTGGGTTTATTCCAGATATGCAAACATGGATTATCTCAAAAAATTAAAATGCAATACAAAAACACGGTTATAACCAAAGACACTGAGAGGCCATCTGATATAACCCAACAACTGCTTTTGATAAAAACTCAATAGAATAGGGTCTCCCCAGTGTGATCTCACACACACACACACACACACACACACACCCTCCAGCGTCAGGCTTGATGGAAACACTGAGGGATTTCTGACTCAGGAACACAACAAGAATGCTGCCTCTGTAGCTCCGCTGTGTAACGTCCACCGAAGCTCTCAGCCAACACAGCAAGAGAGAAATCAGAAGGACAACAGTTGGAAGGGAGCGGGTACCATGGTTGCCATTTGAACATGTGTGGTTGTACGTGGGAAGCTCCCAGGAGCCACTCTAAGTGTGCCGGGTAAGGAGGGGCACCGGCTTGGTGCAGAGAAGTCAGCGCTTTGTTTACACACACGACAGACTTAAATGCACATGCCTAAGTGCAAGAAGCCAATTACACACTGTGATTCCAACTCCGTGGCATCTAGAAAAGGCACAGCTACAGAGACAGGAAGACGAGTGGCTGCCGGGGGGAGGGGGGAGCAGGTGGAGCACAGAGGGTTTCAGGGCAGTGACGCTACTCTGCGTGACACTGGAATAGTGGATTCATGTCATCATACATTTGTGCAAACTATAGAAGGTACAACACCAAGAGGGAACCCTAATGTAAGCTATGAACTTCGGCTGATTGGAAAAAAAACCTAAAAAAGAGAACATAAAATGCACTCTTTATAAATTCAGTGGGTGAAGACCTTTCTAATTGTAAGTCAGAGTCCCAAGCTGGTAAAGATGATCAAAATCAAATGCATGAGAAGAAAAACTATTTCTACACGGAAAAACACCTTAAAGACAGTGGAAAGACAATTAAAAACTGAGGGAAATTATAATTTGTATCAGAAACAAAGCACCATTTCCCTAACATATAAAGAACTTCTAGAAAAATAAATTCCTCGGTAGGATAATGGAAAAAGGCCAGGTAAAAACAGTTCACAGATAACACAAATGGTTCTTAAATATCTGGAAAAGTGTTGTCTCACTGAAGAAATAAATATAATCATATAAAAATACAGTGAGATGTAATTCTTTGTCTATCAGATTGGCAAATGTCCAAAGGTTGATCAGTGTGCAGTTGGAAGGGCTGTGGGGAAACCGCTGCGCTCACAGTGGCCGGCGGGAGTGGGCGTGGCTGGCACACACCGGAAGCATAACGCGGCAATGTCCGATCACGGCATCTGAGAGCTCATCCCGCCCCGCGTGTGCGCAAGTGTAGGATGATGTATGCGAGGCAGTTTGCTGCAAGTGTCTGCGGGTGGAATGATGCAACTGACTCGCTGTGGCCCATCCCTGGGGGACTGGGCGAAGCACAGCGTGTGCGTCTGGTATTGGGCTTCTGTGAGCTGGACGGGCAGAGAGCTTCCCTATGGGGACAGACTTCTAAGGGACATTGCTACATGAAACAGGCTGGCACTGTTGCAAAGGCGGGGTGAGAGAGGACACCCGCACAGACGCCCTGGAAGACAGCTGGCAGGGCTGGGACCCCACCCCAAGTCCCACAGTCCATCGGCCCATTACTGTCTCAGGGATGCTGGCAGAGGTGTGAGATCCCTGGACCAGAGACCCAGGCATGTGACTTAGCACTGCAGGCAGCAAGAGCTCCCTGCTTGCTCTGGGGTCCTGGCCCACCTCGTGCAGCACGTGCGGGGGGACCCTGAGCTTGGGGAGGGAACCTCTTAATCGCAAGTGGTGAGAAAATCCCAGAGAAAAATAGTGCCTCACCCTCAGTGGATGATATGACACTATATATAGAAAATTGCAAACGTGCCACACAGAAGCCACGAGAGCTGATAAGAGAACTCGGCAAGGTAGCAGGATACAAGATTAACCTACAGAAATCAGTTGCATTTCTTTACACTAGCAATGAAATGTCAGAAAAAGTAAATAAGTAATCCCTTTTAAAATTGCATCCAAAACAATAAAAGACTTAGAAATAAATCTGACCAAGGAGGTGAAAGACTTATACACAGAGAACTACAAAACACTGACTAAGGAAATTAAAGAAGACTTAAAGAAATGGAAAGATGTCCCATGCTCTTGGAAGAATCAGTATCATTAAAATGGCCACACTGCCCAAGGCAATCTACAGATTTAATGCGATCCCTATCAAATCACCCAGGACATGTTTCACAGAGCTAGAACAAATAATCCTAAAATTTATATGGAACCACGAAAGACCCAGAATTGCCAAAGCATTACTGAAGAAAAAGAATGGAGCTGGAGGAATAACCCTCCCAGACTTCAGACAACACTACAGAGCTACAGTCATCAGAACAGTGTGGTACTGGCATAAAAACAGACATATGGACCAATGGAACAGAACAGAGAGCCCAGAAATGAACCTACAGACTT